TAGTTTTGGCTTCCGTCTAAGAAGGCCACTGATCAAAATTTGCAATATCTTGAATGGCGCGGTAGGTACCATTTTCAAATGGATCAAACTGTTTCAGCTCAGTCGGTATTCTCCATTTTGATGCCCTTTACGAATTGGAAAGATTGATTTGCAGCGTAAGCCTCAATCTAGCAGTTGTTATTTTTGTTTTTTATCCGAGTCGCCCTTCAGGTGCTTTGTTGATGCTCGGCCCGGATTCTTCCGCTCTTTGATCGTTGATAATCCGGGCTAGTCATCACCAGCTACGAACGTCCACCCCCGTATCACGAGAAATGTGTGCAACTGTTACAATTCATCAACAATGATACACACACAACATTATACGACACGCCCCCTGTGGGTGAGTGCTTCAAGTGTGCATAAAAGCCCCAAAATTTTGAAGCACAACAAGTGTATTTGTTCATTCGAGCTGTGGAGTCCATCTGCTTAGTCCCTAACATCTAAATAAAATCTCTGATTAAGCCCTGGATCATGCAAAAAGCTTTTCAGTGTGTAATAAGGTCCGGATCAGTCCCACTCCTCTGTGCTCCTCTCGGATGGAGCAGGATGTTGAATCATTCTCAATAACATATCGCATTCCGAAACTATCTCTATGACACATCGCCTTCACATCGTATATTCATTGCTGTGGGGAGGGTTGCATTGCGATTGCCCTGTTCTGTAGGCATTCCTCGGAAGTTTTCCTTGCTCTCGTCCTATCCGTCCCGTCATATCTTTTCGACCGAGCCATTTCTGTTTCCCTTAAAGTCGGACCCCATCAAGTCCCCAAATTAGAAACCTCCTTTATCTTTAATGTAGGGAATCAGGAATGGGAGGTCCTAGGAATCATCCAGGGCGTATCCAGTAGGATTCACTTTGTGGTCTCCGGTAAACTACACGTATTCCAGTTGCTTGTTATATGTGGTCTGAGGGGTTGCCTGGTTGCCCTTCACAGTTGTTGCCAGGACCTTTTTCTTATGCCGCCCCTCCTAGCCGAAAGAGGGCAGTGCTATGGATGTAGGTGTCTACCCATTGATAATATATCACAAGGGTCAAACCAGGATTCGATCGGTAGCGAGTTTGCCTCACTCTTTTGCAGCCCCTTTACCAACACTGGTTGCCTCTTATTCTATTCGGTAAAGATACTGTAGCTAATTACTGTAATTACTGTAGCACCACGCCTCCTCAGTAAGTCAATAATTCCCTTTGCCGGCTTCAGAGGTTTTCCTGCCTGATCGATGTATTTTGCTGATAAATGAGAAGCTTATAGCCTGTCATCACTTCGTGCGTTTCTTTCCCATCATTCGTTCTAATGCTCTTTTTGAACGAACTGTTGCAGATGAAGACCCTTGTCATTTGCATCGTTGTCGCCTTCTGCGCATTATATGCGTCAGCTACCCTTCAGAATGTCACCGTCAAAGGAGTTGCCGTTTGCCAGAAGAGGCGGATGGCCAATCAGCTTGTACAGTTGTGGGACCGCGATACTTGTGAGTCATAAGGAGATGAATCACTAACGTTGAATATTAATGAGAAGAGAACACTTTTCCCACATAATTTATCACCATTTCCCATCGGCGTTCCCATTCGGCATGAGTGGCTTTTCATTGATACTGAAGAGCTATTGAGCTTGTAGAAGGATGAAGTCTCGTTGTTCAAGTCGTTTTCGGCCCCAAAAGCTTCTTACCCATATCAGGTAATCGTTACCAATCTAGATCGTGGATTAGTAATGATCGCTTAGGTGTTCAGAGGGAGCTTCTCTTTGTTTTTCGACCAAAAATTGTCCTGAAATGAAAGACCCCACAGTTTTAAGAACTCCCAATCCGAATTCAATTCAGAGTCCAGAAAATTTCATGAGAAATCTTCATTCCAATACAAAAAGATTAGGAATTGTGTGGATTTTTCCTTGATACAGCGCTGATGTATAGGCTCTGAAGAAAAGTAGTTCATCAGTACTACGAAAAACTATCAAAAAAGCAAATTGGTTGACCACAGGCAGCCTTTAAGCTCTAAACAAACCGTGCGTGTGCGAAGAGTTCCTAAATTTGTAAGAAATTTCAAAAGCATGGCGCATAAAATGATTCAATAAAGAATACCGAGGATTGTGAAGTCAGCTGTAGCGTACAGTAACCAAATTCTTTCAGTGGATCCCAACGACCTTCTCGCTGAAGTGCACACCAACAAAGAAGGCGAGTTCGAACTATATGGAGAGGAGAATGAGGTTAATTTGATTATTCATTAAGAACTTCCCAAAATTCTTTGAATTTGATCATACAGCCACATTAACTGTAGGCTGTGATTCTAAGTGAATTCTCGATAATTGTAATAATGTTTCCAGGTCGGAAGCATTGAGCCGTTCATCCGCATTCATCACAACTGTAACGCCAAGCCGGTAAGTTTGCTCAAAATTTCTGAATATATCAGTCAGTAATGAGAAGAAAGAATAAGGTCTATTCATAAGGTCCTAATAAGGTCACATAGGGTACCCAGACACGATTTCTGTCCGTCCTTCCTCTTTGCTTTCTTTGCTTTTTAAGGGACATCTCGTTTCCATGCATCATCCTGCCAAAGCAACGACCTCAGTGGACCCTCAACCTTGGAATATCTTTACCCCCAACTAACGCCCATAAGATTTCTTCTGAGTTGTCTAGTTAGATGGCTTTTCTTCTACCTCATATCCCTCCGGTCAGAAGCCGGTGGTCCTCACGGCTTCTTTTCTGACATCAGAATCGTGTCATGTCCCAGTTCCCCCATGCAGTTCTCCTATGCAGCAGAACCACTCTAGGCCTCCTGTGTCGTGGAACTTTTCAGAATATCTCAGAAAACCATGCAGATACCCCATGCGGCAGAGCCATTTCCGGGCTTCTGGTTACCAATGTGGAGCTTTTTCGGAATAGTCCTGGAGCCATTCGATCCCAATAATCCCGAAAAATGTTCACTATGTCTCCATTAAACTGCAACCGCAGTGTTTGATAGATCGATGTCAGTGCATTGAAAGTTTTTGCTCAGTTAATGCGTTCACTGCACGACTATCCTTAAGTAAACTTCGTAAAAACTCCAACCCTGTTGAGGAGGGCGTTACTATTCGGCGTCTCCACTATGGCAACAGAGACCTCCTTACCAAGAAGACACTTTCTCAAAGTGCTCATAGCCCCACAAAATGATGGTCGTTGAACCTTATTGTACTGTTGACTTTACAATCCGACACGACAATGATCAGATGAGTCAGAGGTGCGCTAAGAATTCCAACAGGAATAGCGATAGCTTCAAGATGATAAACGGTTATTGTAAAGTCCGATTAGTCTTTCGCTTGAACGCAAATACACTACACAGATATACAGCCAACAGCTGGCGGTCGTTAGTCAAACAAGCTGCTGCCCTGAGGCTATTTTGCCCGATCGTATCTTTATTGTTCCGAGAGGAATCTCAGTGAAGTCGGAATCGTATGAGACATCTTGTGGGGGTTGACAAGTGGTCGATTAGTTGTTGGGAAGGGAAGTCAAAAAGGTGTCGGAGTTCGATAAAAGTTACGCGAGACTCACTTCCTTTTCATAGTTTCAAGCGGTTCTGAGAACCTCACAGGATTCTCTTCCCAGGTTGTAGAAGCATGCCTGGCTTACTTCATGCCCAAGTTTCTATGATCGCAAGTATTCACACGTCAATGGGCGCCGTGGGAATTATCGTAATCACCCACTGGGAATTTAAGTCCTACTCGTACAGTGCGCTCTCCGTCCTGCAGCAAGTGCGTCGAGCTCGGTACATCTTTCAGGGGTATGTTCGTCCTGCCCCTTAACTGCTAAGGGCTTGTGCACGAGTATTTCAATCTATTACCTACCTTAGGCTGAGCTCCATGTATCCCGGCCCCCAGAGTACCACCACCTCCGTGATTGCACTAAGGTCACAGTCTGTTTACTTATGTTCCGTTAGAAAAAAAACAAGGAGTTTGAACTTGAAGTATCATCATTTTACACAAGGTTGCAGGGCTGCACTCGTGTTGGCGACTACGAGGTGCCGAAAAGCAGAATCGGAGGCCTATACGATATGACGTACGTGACTTTGGACATCGTTGTTCACGGTGAAAAGGAAAAATGCTGAATCCGGTCGTCTCCTTATCCAGCCTCCTACGTCCACAAAGCCCTTCAACACTCCATATCATGCAGTTGTTTTGAAGACATGTAAATAAATCTAACCTGAATAAAGAAATTACTGATTATCCCCGAATAATGAAGTTGTTCTGTATCTGGAACGGTCTGACAATCTATTTAGAGTTCGTATTCTTCGATCAAAGTCTCAGGGTTTGGACTTACTGAGAAGCAGCCTAGCCACATTTGAGTTTCAGTGAGAGCCGTGATGTACAGAAACACTTGAAGTTAAAGGTGACATATTGACTCACATCATGGGATGGAATTGAGGCATCCCAGGTCTGATCACGCTTATGTGACTGCATATCGAGCCCACGAATCTGAAACTGAACGAAATAAATCGAGCACCTTCTTTGTCGCACCTTCTTTACAGCGCCATCACAGATTTGGAACAGCGCCTTCAGTCAGAGTGAGGCCTGTGAATAAAGATGAAGAAGGAGCTATGGCAGCAAATTACCGTTGTTAAGCTCGATCCATTACCAATGATAGCTCCTCTCATAACCGTGCTTTCACTAGTGGGGTAAAAGGTTTTTGTGGCTACAGTACTCTGTGGGCTTTCCAAATTTTCATCATATTTTAATTCCTTCTGGTTATCATTACGACATGACATCATCGGAAACGTCTGGTTTTTCCTTCTTATGTGGAATTCTTCTCTTATTTGATCTGATTAGGTTCTCATAACCCCCCCCCCCCCCCCCCCCCCCCCCCCNCCCCTGATTTCGAAGTACCCAAACTCTCACGCAGGGATGCGCCCTGAAATTGGCTGGATTATATTCCGGAAATGATTCAAAAATAGTAACTGCTCTTCAGATCCCCATCATCCGGGATGTATGTTTTTCGGATGAGCACATTGATTGAATGAGAAGTATACTACCTCAATACTTTCATAACCTGAATGCTAAATCCCTTCAATAGTCTATTTGCCCACGGATTTTGAAATTCTGAGAGCTTTGCGATTTACATCATCAAACGGCCGTGCTGCCTTCCCTCTCGAATTGTCTGGGGACCGTTCGTGATCCAATTCGTCTTCGTTTCCAACTCCATCTAATCATAACCCTTCGCAAGCTCTCCTTACAGTTAGCTTTTGAAGGATTCCATGAAACATCCCTTAACAGTGAAAGACTATGAAGCTATAGCACTTTCGGTACCATCATAAAATCTTTCTGTATTCTCCCCAAATCGCCAACCTTGTGAGAAGTCGTAGGATCGTTAGGACGTCCCTTCAATTGCAGAGATCCCTGGAGAAATCGCCCACACAGCATCCGAGCCTTATGTTTTTGAGCCTAGTGGTATGATCTAGGCTGTACTTGGCTAGTGAGCCGATACCAAAACATGGAAAATTTTCAAACCATTATTACCTTGACAGTTGATGAGCAGCTGCACATGGTCCTCAACCTTCAACCTTTCAATGTTTCTATGTTCGCATTGTGAGGCTATTTCAATCCACTACACTTCTCATGGCTCATACGGCCAGACAGTTGCGGTCCTTGAGCTCTATCATGTTGTTTGTTTTACGATCTGATACGACGAGACGATCAGATGAATCAGCCATGGCTGTGATTACCAGCTCAGACGGCGATATCTTGAAGGTGATAAACGCTTTGCTGTAAAGTCCGATTAAACTTCTTCCTAAACACTTATACACACGCACAGACATTCCGTCAACAGCTGGCGGTCGTTAGTCAAACAGGCTGCTGCCCAGGAGCTTTCCTAACCCCGATCGTATCTTCAATGCTCAATGATAAACTTCATTTCAATTGAAATGGCGCAGGATGTATTGAGTGAGATCAGGAAGGTATGAGGGTTATAGAGAGAGTACCCTGGGAAGGAACGGTGTTAGGGCAGGTGTGTCTGCGCTTTTAGACCTCAGATCAGAGCAATGCATCTCACCTGAGGTTTCAGGCTACTTCGAATTGGGTTCCAAGAAGTGATCACCATTTGGAACTGTAGATGCACGGCATTCATTCTTAAAGATGGCTTATGATAGATCTAGGTTCTTCGTTCCACAAGCAGGTCTGCCCTATGGGTCGAGGCATAGGGTTTTTGTAGTCTAGTGAAGTTAGATTTCGACCGATTTTTGCTTGAACGGAAGAACTTAAATCAAAGACCGAGGAGGTATGGACCGAAAGAGCCAGCATCCTGTAGAACTTTCTAGGACGGTACTCATTTGGATGACTACAAAGAGCAGAAGAAGGAAGTCGCGGCTAGTGCTACGGGGAAATTGGTCATTATTAATAAGGGTTAAAAGGAAAGTGCTGAATCCGATTATCTCTTCACCAAAACGTATCATGATGTATTCTATCTTATGAAATTCATTAATTCAGTTTCATCCTCAATTCATCTCGTTTTTTTGAATGTGGAATCTGCTACCTTTGCCTTGACCGTGCCCTTGCTTTGTCTCCGAACGAGGTGCACCATGCATTAATTTCTTAATAATCCAATAAATATTTTACCTGATCAAAAATCTATTTTTGGTTCAACGATCAAGTCAGCTCTCCCAAGCATAGTCCCGCTGCCGGTACTGTTCTTGGGAACTTGACTTTTTTGCTGAATCTTGTTCCTACTTAGCAACTATGCTCCGCTGTCAGGGCACTGAATGTGCTTTTCCCACTCGGGATTTATTAGGAAATTTTAACTACTCTTTCGTTTGCCTTCTGTTTCTATGGTCAACATCGGCTGTTTAACAGCACTCGAAACTGGCTTACTGTTTATGCTAAAACTGTAACCAGGTGGTTTTAATGAGGTTTTACAATAGGNTACGATTCAGATAATGTTCAACAGCACGTTGAAGTGACTATTTGTTGACGCTAAAGCTGTGATCGTAGTTTTAATGAGATTTTACATGAGTCTGCTTGGATGTGAGTGAGTGAATGATCGCAATAGCAGCATGTTTTCAACGGCTAGCAACGCAGCTGCTACCATTAGCACAAGACGTATAAAAAGCCGTCGGCCATTAGGTCGATAGACCAGTATCTTCGCCAGCTTTTCCTACTTCTTCTTCTTGTCAATACTCTTTTCCGACACTCTTCTAAAAATCACGTCAGAAGTTTGTTTCGGTGGTAGTTTTTGGATAGGGCAGGAGGACTAACATTCCACCTCTCTCGTAGAGTGTGGAAGGGGTATGTATGGACGGAATTGTACTCACAAGCCATTGGCATGATCTAGCTATCGGATCAACCGTGATCCGACACAACGTCTCATCCATCCTGTTGTTTTGCTCCTAGTTCTGTTTCGACCTGGAGTTGACAAGAGAAATCTGATCCTTGAATTCTTTGGACACTATTGGGCTCCTATGTCACTCCTATCTGGCTCAGAATGTGTAGCTTATTCCATGGCATATCGTAGAATAGAATGAGGAGCTATACGTCTTTCCTTTTTCAGTGCGTCTTTTCATGAACATNGGGGGGGGGGGGGGGGGGGGGGGGGGGGGGGGGGGGGGGATCGGCGAGTGACGTGGTCAGCTTGAGAAAGGGCTTCTTTGTGAACTAAAAACCATATTCTTTGAAGTGCAGCTAACCAGCTCGTGCCAGTATTTAGTAATGAGCACATTCGTCGATCCGACTGCTCATCCATCAAGAGCTTTCCCCGGGTAGACCTTAGTCTGCAGTAAACCCTTACCCTTGATAAGTCAGTAATCATTATCCAGCAGTTCGTCTTTAAGTTGCTCAAAGGGAAATAGGTAAAGGATAGAATGCCGACGCTTGAACCAACCTTCGTGATCATATGCTTCAAATCAAGAGCATATGGCTGCTGAACATACGGTAAGGAATGTGCGACGACATTCTTCAATTCCTGGAAGAGGGTAGTCCGAGAACTGCGAGTAGAGCACTTTTCGTCGCAGAGATCAGGCCTCTTCTTTAGGCGAAGGGGTCTTTCTTTAGGGGTGCACATGTCGGAAAATTTGGAAGGAGTCTTGTACTACATCGAATCCCTTCCAGAACTGTTCGTTAGTAGTTCTCTGGAAGATGGCTTGAGTTTTGAGGCTGTACTTTCTTCAAATGAAAGATTGCCTTGACTCACAATAGGCCATGATTGCACTGGCTCTCAAAAAAGAGTCTAGAGCACTGTCCTAACATGCTTTGCAACGACCCACGAACAGCCAGCGAATGATAGTCCAACTCGACCTATCCTTCGACTTTCTGGCTAAGGCTGGTCCCCATATAAATCGTCCACAAGCACGGTTCCATCTAGTTCCATTATCGTTTTCGGTTTCATTGTTTCAGCTGGATAGGTTCATGGTTCTCAGTGGCGCTCTATGAAAGCTGATGAAGTTCTTGCCATATTGCCTCTCTCGCCGTTGAAGAGAAAATCACACAATCTTCCACAAAACCTATTCTCAGCAGGCCAAATCCGATTTCTTCTGAATCTTCTTTGTCGTTTTTACAAAGTTCGATGGTCGCTAGAACCTCAGCTCCTACTCATGCCCAGCTACTCCTGACTTTCTACCGGCACGTTTCTATTCAGAGTATGCGATCTCTGGTACTTCTCGCTGTTCTGGCTGCATGCTATTTCTCCGTTTCGGCTAAAATGCAGAACGTAACCGTCAAAGGTATTACCGTATGCAACAAGAAACGCCTGGCAAACGTCCACGTCGAGCTTTTCGATAAGGATACTCGTAAGTTTCGTTTTCTGTGTCGTGTCCAGTCAAGTCGCACCCAAGTAACTCAGTTCAAATTCATTATTTCATGAATTCTTTATTTCATTTGTTTCAGTTGACCCTAACGATCTTCTCGCAGAGACGCATACCAATGCTGAAGGCGAATTCGAACTATTCGGTCAGGAAGACGAGGTGAATTATCGTCAACTATTCATTTTTCAGCCCTAAGAATAGTTGTTTAGGTCGGCAGCATTGAGCCTTTCATTCGCCTTCACCACAACTGCCAAGTATCGAAGCCGGTGAGTTACAGTAATTAAGCATTGAAACCACTCAGTCATTCGGCTAGCAGAAATCATGGAGGGAGTCAGCGAATCCGCAGCGAAAACCAATTCCTAGGGATGTAAATCACTCTCTGTGGGCTGGGAAAGGGAAATAGCTAGTGATGCAAGCTCTCATGATCCTCCACTTCCAGCGACCTGCCTTCCGCTAACTAGCCTTTCCAAAACAAAGATAGCTTTTTAATGTGTGCGGTACACTCCAGAGAAAAGTTCAGAGAAAAGAGAGAAAAATCCGTCTGTACTAATTTTTATTCCAATTTCAGGGTTGCATGCGCATCGGAGATTACGTTGTCCCGCAGGACAAAATCGGAGGCCTTTACGACATGACATACGTAACACTTGATATCGTTGTCGCAGGCGAGAAGGAGAAGTGTTAGGGTCCTGTCCCCGAATATCTATACCACTACTAATGATTACTGTGTTTGTTTACAATGTATGCTTGACTCAAATATAAGGTTTCACATCAATAAGTAATGATGATTTTGACTTCTAGATAAGCAGTATTGTAATGCAATGTTTCTTTTCTAGTAGTTCATTTCAACGTTTCCTTGGAATAATTATTTGTTCTACTTGCTAATTTTTATCTGTAATCGTCGATACAGTTTCTTCTGGGAAACCTGGCGAAAACCCTGAAGTTCAAAACCAAAAATCAGATTTTTTTCAAAAATGATCGATTTTACTTCTACATGACTGGATGCTCCTTTCCGAGTATTTGTAGGCACTCACACGGCTACCCGCTCGAGAAAAATTCCTTTACTCATGTTAAGTGTGCTTCTTCTCCCGATGATGCTCATATCACATCCACATGGATTCACATGGACGAGAATTGAAAAAGGAAAAAATGGAAAATTCTTCCACGAAAAGGATGTCAGATCGAAATGGCAGTCTGAAGCACGGCGCATCCCTTCCGTTACATCCCAAAGTGGGACTAATCGGCGCCACGTACTTTATGGCCTTTTCCAAGCAGTCTTATGAGTTTAGTTGACCTCTGTTACTATCAAAATCCAAGCAGAATCGTTCCAATCAAGCAAGCAACGCTCACAAAAGGAGAGACCCAAACAGAAGCTTAGAAAAAGGCATCTGACCAGATCAACCCTTTGACTACAAGAACTGAAAAGCAAAATAGCTACGGTCCCTGAGCTAGTTGCAGAGCAGGAGATGTCAGAGAGAACCTTCAGAGTATGTTGGAAAGTCTTAGGTGTGCTAAGATTTTGTGAAAAGGAGGACCTCGAAAATGGGGTATAGGTAGGCAATGGGTAGCGACCGACAACCTTGCGCTGGCAATGGGAAAGCTGCAAACTCGTGGTAGCTTCAGAGATCTCCTCGAATAGTTGAGCTAGCTCAAAAGATGCCCAAATTGGACTGAACTTATTTGTTAATGTTTATTTTTCGCTCAAGATACAGGTAGGTAAGTCATCACAAGGTTACTGCCTCCATGTATGGGTTCGGAACCCTCCCACACCGATGTCCCGCTGACAGCTCAACGTCTCCTATCGCAAACTGCAGCAGAAAGTTGCAGTTAATCGAAATGTTCAACTGAAGCGAAGTGAAGAGTGTAATTGTTAAGTCTTGGCCAAGATGGTACAGCTAATGTTTCGGGCTTGCCAGTTTCTTCGATGCCTCACAAAGTCTAGTAGGTGACAATTCTCAATAGTCTCCACCACAACGTTACAACGATTCAAAAACTTATTGAATCCATTCTGGAAAAAGAGCTCAGTATCTCTTGAGAAACACCGCTTAGGGAGGATTGGCAGGATTTCAGTCTTCAGACTTCGTCCGCTAAAACCAGAAGCAGTAATCGTGAGGGATAGATAATTGAGAGAGCAGTTCCTTTCGAGGCACAGTTTACGACAGTATTGATACTCCTTACACCTTGTTCTATTAATACGTATTGCAAACCATTTCGAGAGTGGTGCAGTCAATGTTCCTTCATACTGAGGGTTTATGGCCACCTCTTGCCATTTTGACATTTTCTTGGCCCTGCGTTCTGGCTTAACGGCTTCGTTGTGTTCGGGTTTATCCTTGTGCCCGGTTGCTGCAGTGTACCATGAGTGCAGTTAATAAATAAATAAACAAATGATGGAATAAGTTGAGAATATTCGGTCCTGAACGATTAGTGGAATGGATATTACATAATAGTACAAAAGGAGCGAAGAACAAAAAGAATGTGTTCAGAAAAGGCTACAAAAAAGTAGTAACATATGAACTGAGCAAGAATTTCTGTGACCAAATTGCATGGGAGGGGGTATTTGGACGAGCTGTCCAAATATGTGTGTCAATGCATACAGGTAACTACTCTAACTAAGCTGCTTTTGCCAACGTCTGTAGCCTCTACAGCGCCGTTAGAATTCTTCCGACTTAGGGAACTGTGCCTTTAAGATACCTGGTTTAAGTGGAATAATAGAAGTGATGGTACTGAATAGTGCAATAATGGTGGAGAAAGCTTGATAGTAGATTATTTGGGGAATACAAGGACCCAAAAAGCACCTAAACTAGGAATTGGGCGAGATCGTGCGAAAAAAAGTGGCTTGGAGGTTGAGTAGCGCAGCCATTCGATGAACTGATTAACTACTCCACAGGTGTGATCAGATGGATTCTCATGATTGAAATAGGTTCGTTTTTATCAGGTAGGGTGATAAGGTTGATCGGGTTTTATCCCTTTCCAGATTCTTTCGGAGATCCACTGGGAAAGATTTCCTAATTGGGGCGATAGGCCGTTCCCGAACCAGTACTATAGGGAGATAAACATATAAGCACGCTCCTGTAAGTATCAGCTGACTTCAACATTCAACTGTCGTCCGAAGCTGTCCGAGAGCTATCGCCTAATATTAATCTCTGTAAGGCCATAATCCATCGACCTGTCGCAAATATCTGTGTGACGAACCGCCATCAAGACAACCAAGGAATCGACCACATCAGAACGAGGTTTTTGCCGCGTTCTTGGTGGGATTTTCAGGGAACGCTCTACTTTGGATTACTTCCTGAGGGTTCCGCCGAAATTTACAGTCCTCAACTACTGAGTTTGGAAGACATAATCTGAAGGAAGGCTCCGCAGCGAAACAAGTTTGGCTTCCTCACAATAACGCTCGACAGGATATTGCGAAACAGTTTCGTCAGAAAATTGCCAAACTTGGATATTAAGTACTGCCCCATCCCTTTGTTTCCAAATCTTACTCCGTCCGATTATCATTTGTTTCCCGCTATGAAATTCTCCGCAATAGAAAACTTGATGATTGCTTGGAGCTCCAAACTGTGAACTCCACCTTTTTCTAATCGCGTCTTGCACAATTCAAAAAAGATGGAATTCCTGGGCTTCAGGAATCGAGAAGCTGCCGGATCTTTGGACATATGGTGTGAACCACCACGATTGAAACCATTTTACTTATTGAGGTCCTTTTTTTATAAAAATGAGAGTTTTTGAAATAAGGGCGAAAAATTGACAAAAACTTTTACTCAACTCAATATTTTCTCAGGATAACCTACAAAAAGGAAAACTAAAATCAATCCAATCTCAAAGAGTGGGAACAGGTAGATACGTCTAGAAACGATCTTGTTTTGAAGTAAATAAACGAATTAAGTGAGAAGCAGCTGTTCAGAAATCTCGTGTTCAGTGACTTGCAATGGTTAAATCTCAATGATCGTCACGGGGATTAGGTATCTCGCATGTTTTCTTCGACCCAGAAACCAATGATCAGCTTATTTATATCTCGTAAATGCAGCTAAACGGTGTTTACGTGTTGTTTCGTAGTCGTTGTTGTGCTCCCGATTCGAGATGAATGAGCAACAACTCGTAAACGTTTCAGCGATCAACATAACAGCTGCTATTATCCACTAGATCTATATAAAGCCCCAGGGCCACTGGGTTTGCATCCAGCATCATAACTTCCCTTCTCTGATGATTTTGCCAGCAGCTTCACAGTACTTCTTGAACAAGATCCTTCCTTACTGCTAGGCTAGGGTGCTCAGGGTGCCTTCTATCGAGACGCTGGATAACGTCTCTTCCAGCTCTTGCCTTTTGCTCTGGTGTAGCGGTCTTTCCAGTCCTTGTGGGGGAATTCTTCTGGGAGTTGGTGTTTTTTGCCAGTACGGGTTCGAGTTCCGTCTGAGGCTGAAATTTTGTCCATAATTCGCCATTCTCAAAAGTTTTCTTCAGAATATGCAATCCGTCGTACTGCTCGCCGTTCTGGCTTCATGCTCGCTTTCTGCTATGGCTGCAATGCAAAACATTACGGTCAGAGGAGTTGCTCTGTGCGACAAGAAACGTGCAGGGAACGTCCACGTCGAACTGTATGAGAAGGATGTCCGTAAGTTTTCCTGTGCTAAATGTACTGCTTTCGTTGGGACCTGGGACAACCGTAGGCATCCAGTCAGAGGCACTTGGTACCTGTGAATTGGAAAATCCAAAATCTTTAGGAGAGCTTCGTATTTTCAGTTGACCCCCATGATCTTCTCAATGAAACCCACACCAATCTTCAAGGTGAATTCCGATTGTATGGAGAACAAGACGAGGTGAGCACTGAACTGGCATTTCATATCCTTCCACTTCTAATTAGGCTTATTCAGCTCGGAACCATCGAACCTTTCATTCGCCTTACCCACAATTGCAAAGCCAAGCCGGTAAGTTTATCCATCAAAATTTTGCTCATATTCAGTACATTTACACAAAGACCCCCGTTCCCCACTGCTATTCAGTCAGATAGTGGAACCTGGGAAAGTGGCCTCTCGAAAATTCATGGTAGCGGTGCATTCCATAGCTACCCACTCTGCTGATCGTGCTTCAAGGTGCCACATAGTAGGTATTTAGCCTACGAAGGTCAGCAAAAGGCGTTCCATCAAGCAAACGCCCATATGAGTGTTCCATTACTCTCATCTGAGCCCCACACAAAAGACCTCATAGACTGGGGAGGCCCAAATAGATTCCGACACCGGACTGCTCTCGCGGGTTCTCGCCGGCTGCTCTGGTCAGGTAGTTTTCGTTCAACGCCAATCCCATCTTTTTATTTTATTTTCACCAATTTTCAACTTAAATAACAAATATTCTGAGATCTTCTAATCTAATATTTCAGGGTTGCGTGCGTGTAGGTGACTACGTCGTACCAACGGACAAACTCGGAGGAGTTTATGATATGACTTACGTCCCGCTCGATATCGTCGTTTCAGGAGAAGGGGAACAATGCGTTTGAACTGAACCGATGTATGTAGTCGTCTAGTAACTAGTTACCTTTTTGACGTACCCGTTGTACATTGATTGGTCTGTAAAAAGTGTTTATACTAAGATCAAATCGGTCGCACTCCTTTTCCTATGGAAACGTCTGTGAAGAGCGATTTCTTGGTTTTGTATTATATGTACAAATCTTTATAAAGATGATAATACTGAAATCTACTTTGTGCCAAGAAATGACAGTCCTACTTTATGTGAGGCCGAATTCTCTCAGATTGAGTCCCGTACATTGATAACGACTGTTATGACATTTACTCTTGAAATCATTCTATCACAACCAGCCAAAACTAGCTCTGAAAAAATTTTTCAGCAAAATTCATTTCAGAGGCCAAGCTCAGGGAGAAACCTTATGCAAATTTTGAAGGATTAAATAGTAAAAGGTTCATTACATCGAGAACTCTTGAATGACTGTCGTTTTCACCTTCCTACTTCGGTTAAAATCCTGAGTTAATGATGATAAGAGGAAATAGTCTTCACCGACGATCCAATAAATCTATGGAAACCTCTGGAAAGGGCTAGGAACGGCCTGAAAGATAACCCCCGACTCTCTCTAAATTTAGATACCCGCCAGATACTGGAAAAATCTTGTGCCTAGATCTTCTTCTTTGCGTGCTCGCGAATTCTGTCTCCAATCAATACATTTTAATCAATTAAATGTATTGATTGGAGGCATAAGAATATAAAAAACAAACATATAAAAAGCAGTAGACTTCGTAACCAATACCACAACCCTCATCGTTCCTACATTTTGACAGACAGAACAACATGTGTACTGGTAAACATACACGCAAAGTTATTGGTTATTTTTAACATAAATGGCTTAATAAACGAACTTTAGAAAAAATTGTTGTCATTCTCCTGGATCTCTCAATAAGAAATTATATGTCAAAGAAATTCATATGTCAATTGCGAAAAAGCAAAAATTCTCCCCGGCCGGGAATTGAACCCGGGTCTCGCATGTGACAGACGCGGATACTCACCACTATACTACCGAGGATCCGACTCTGGTCGTCTCATAACGCTTCACGACTTTCCTACTCCTACTCGGAGATCTACACACAACAGTGCTGCTCCAAGTTCAGATTATAGGAAATATTTCTTTCTTGTAATTGCAAATTTTTGCTCTAGGCGGTAAAAATGAACCCTGGTCTCGCAAGTGACAGCGGGTACTCACCACTTGACTACCGATTATCTCGATCTTAAATTCTCACAAACCTACTCGATTATTGGAACTCCTGTTCACATCGTCGAATGCAAATCGGTGTATGCGACATTGAGGACAAGCCTTGGTTTGAACCCAAAGTCTTACTTATTTTTCTGAAGTCGTGAAAGGAAGCATGATCGCTCTGTTATAACGAAACCGGTTCTTTTTTGAAGGTTTGCTTGTCTACAATCATGTTGAGTTAAAGTTCAGCCTTTAATTTATTGTGTGTTAATGAGATTAGGGACAAATCGGACAGGGACTAGGCCCTCGTCTACATCCTGCCGCTCATCACTCAGTGTTCTGGGTGAATTGATCTATCATATCTGCTGCTTCTGGCGGAAGTGGTGAAGTGTCAAGTGCCGCAATGTCACACACGCAACGACACGGGTTCGGATCCCAGACGATGATCAACTGGGTCAGCCAAGCCTTCCATTCCTCTGAGATTGGCTAATCGGTACCAGCATCTGGGTGGATATAGCACTGTCTTGTACATCGGCTGATCACCGCAAGCCATTGTTTACCCCATATACGCATTCAAACGCCATCGAGTGAATAGAAGTCGATTGCAGGGGCGCATCTTCAGACGGGATTGCCCAAGTCCAAAGGCTTCATCCTTTATCTGTTGCTCTGTTTGATACTCTTACAGTGAGAATGAATGGCCCGTCTCAAGCTTGTTCTACAAATTTTACACCCTAACGGTTTCACAAAGCCTCCCTACTCTCTTCAGACGAAGTTCCGGAAATGTCCCACATAAAGTGTCGATGCGTGAAAATAAATTATCGGCAAAAAAACTGCGAACACCATTTGAGAGAAAAAATGATTAGAAGGCAAGAAACTTGTTTAAATGGAATGAATGCAATAATAAAAATTGAATAACGAGTTATTGTCCTTAAGAGTACACATCCTCGAGATGAAGTTGGCTTTAGAACGTTTTGAGTTCCCCATCCACCATTCTTCTTTCCAAATGTCGAACCAACAAGACATCTCAAACTTGGCGTTCCAGCTTGCCATTCTTACCACTCCGGCTAGAAATGATTCGTTGTAAATAGAGCAAACATCGAAATTGTATTCAAAGGGACCAGAAGAAATCAAGTTAGACCGGACTGTCTGGATGCACCACTATCGTAGTCCATTCACTAAGCGAGAAATTAAAAACAGTCGGTTTTTAGTTCGGCAAACAGGAAAACGGGTAGCAGTCTAGTTCTTTTATACCTTCCTCTTCTCCCTCTCCCCATACGATCGAAAGATAACATTGAAAGGGAAAATTAGATAGTCCAGTTATGTTTTTTGGTTACTGCTGATAGCGCCATCCGAAATCTCGCATGTTTTTCGAGTTATGAGCAAAAATGCAGCCCGGGGCGGGACTGGAACACGTACTTGTGCTATCACCAAATCTTATATCACCGAGACCCCGTTTGCCCTCACCTGAGATTGTGATGGCGAGATTTGTGGCTGGATGAGCTCCGATAATACTTGGTTCCCAGGAGATCGAGCACGGCAATGAGCAAAAAAAGTTTTTTACTACCGAAAACTGAATCTCAACCTCCCACCCCAATATCTCCTAATTACTCAAATACGACTGAGTACAGATGGGTCCTCCTGAAACTCCTTCGTCTGCTTCTTTGGCTTTCCCTTATTTCTGGTATCAAACCGCGTTCGCACGGAGAAAGGCGACTGAAGGGGAAGATGAGAGAAAAAGGGGTGGAACGGTCTATTAACTTCTTACCCGGTGAAGCAATTCTTATGTCTGTGAATTTCAGAAATTATTCATGAAACTCGATTTCACGGCAAATCCGGAAAATCTGGCTGAATTACAATTTCAAGTTCCTAGTATGATACAAGCTCGATGTGTTTCCTACCTCTACAGCCTCTACCCGGTATGGCAATAGTAGCGGTTGGAATGCCAAGTCTTCGGGAAGGCTGGTGGGTTGAATCCCTGGAAATTAGTGGTGAAAAGGAAATCAAGCCTTTCTGAAGCAACTTTCAATTCGCAGAAGTGTACTTCTAGGACAATGACTCTAATACGTTTTTACTGCATTCTTTTCATCTAAACAAGTTTTCTTGTCTTCTACTCCCTTTTTTTGAATGATGTTATCAGTTTTTGGGCGCAATTTCTTCTCAAACGCCACAGATAAGCGCTTTGCATGGGAGTTTTACGAGTGCAGAGGAACTTTGTGGAACGTCTGACTCTACTGTACAACTTCTAGGGCAGGCTACAAACTGGTAACGGCTCCCATGTTTCCCTATGAATCCAGAGAATACAGCAATGTATACAAAGCAGTAACGACCAATGGATCAAAAAAACTACTGTATCCCGGGAGTTTTGGGGAAATAACAGTGAACTATCAAACAATCATGCCTCCAATCCCCAGTTCAATTAGATCGGGTAGTGTGCAACCTATACTTTCACACTTTCCCTTTTACCACGAATTATGCGGGCGGTTTGAAGGATCCGGTCTGTAGGGGATTGTCGCTAAAACTTGCCGGTAGGCGATCGGTAAATTTTCGGGATTGACAGATTAGATCCTCCAGACCCGCCCACATAATTAAGGGTTGGAATGAAAAATGACCGTTCGACTTCCTCAGACTTTCGCTCAAATGACATAAATCATATATCCATCTAATGCTGAACCGTGCAATTAGGAAGAGACAGAAGCAGAGATAGGACAGGATAGAGAGATGAATAAAAAGTCGAGAAAATAAGTTTTCTGAAGATTTTGTCATTATCCAATGCGTTTCTCTCCTTTTTACTTCTCAAGCGACTAACAAGTAAGGCTGTAGTTATTGTAAGTACCTTGTCGTAGAAAGAAGCATGGCGAAGCATTCGAGACTGGACGCTCTGCTCGTGTTCGCCGAGTATAACTGTTCCCTGGATCAAACTTGAGCCATAACAATCGCTTCAAGTCATGTCAAGTATTTTGAAAGTAGATAGTCGAGTTTAAAGAATGAAGGATATAGGCTTCTGGCGTCAATCAAACTCGTCTGAGGGATGCGCCCTGCTTCTAAATTCCACTCAGAATCTTAGTGGTGTATTGAATGCGTATGTGGCCTATACTGCAATGATTTGCGGTAGCCAGCCGTTGTGCGAGTCAGTGCTTTTATCCTACCAGACAAGTCTGCTACCAATTACCCGACCCTGGAGGGATAGAAGGCCTGGTTGGCCTAGGCGGATATCGAGCCGGGATTCGAACCCGGGACCATGCATGTGTGATAGCGTGCCACTTGCAACTACACCACCTCCGCCCTGTCGCGAATTGACAGTTCGATTTTTTCTGACATTTCCATGAATTTAATCACTTTCTATGAAATGCAAGAGAAGAATTCAAAACACCACATGGTTTCATATCACATTTTATCACTTGTTATAACTTTTCTTTACAAACCACCAATCTTCCCTCTTCTGAGCGCATAGAAGGCGCAGTGTTAGGTGATGCCATGGGCTACAAGGCCGCAGCATCACATGATACTACCCGCTTTTTCTTCTAGACTATCACAAGTAACACCATTAAAATCTTAAAAGAGAAAGGAACGAAAGTTCAACTTTTTATGTTTGAAGCACTAAAAGCTTTTTCACAGGTTGAAATGTCATTACCATTAGAATCATACCAATCCGGAATGGCTGATTTATTGAAGTACAACGAAACTAACTTCTAAAAACGTCCCTTGTAGGATGTGAACTTCGACTGCTGTCGTTTTTTCCTTCCAGGAAACATGAGAGATATATTTCGAGCCTAATGAGTCATGTTCCTTGTAATCATTCTTGCAACGAATGAAAAAGTGAACTACCGTGAGCGGATCGTCAGTGACCCACGTCATTTATCACCGACCGGAGTATAAACGAAAATTAATGACAAAAGGGGTCTATGAAGTCAAAAGTGATGATACATAAGCCAATTGTATCCCACTTTACATAATGAGGTCTCCGAACTCTGAGGAGAGGTCGATCGGACCACGAGAACCAGGCATTCCTCCTGGAATGTCGATAATCGTAAACAGGATTTTGGATGTTAGGTAAAGTGACTGGAAAGATTCCACCGTTATGAAGCACACTGTTATACAATGGTGTCCCCCTTGCTGGTCTCTTCATATCACGGTAGAACCCGAACAGGCGCCCAGACATCGACCACGACGACGACACTTTCTTACACACGATATCAGCCCTTTTCAGACGTTGTCACCTTCTCTCTGCAACCATCCGGGATCCCGTCACACCCCACGTGCTGTACACAAGTGCTAAGGCTCCACTTTGCCTAGCCAGAACGTGGACGACCTTTTCAATGATATTCTCTGTAATTCCACTTATCAAGTATTATCAAGCGCTATCGGGCCTTATCAGTTCTATGACCTCCACGAACAACTTTCCGCCACCGGGAGCCTCGTCGAAACTCTCAATCCCATCAAATATCAACTATAAGCTCGTGATTTAAGAGCTCTCGTTTAAGTGACGAAGGAATCTCAACCGTACACATGCACACACATACACACAGACATATATCTACCTATCAGTTTCTGGATATCTATCAGTTATCGGCTTCGGTTATCCCTACTATCCGACACACTTACCGAACCGCCTACATTATTACTTAGAAAAAGCAGCTAACCTAATTGGCGCCTGAGATAAATTTAAAAAGAGTAATCATCCTGGTTCTGTGTTGAATCGCTGCGCTCGAGTTCCACTTGGAATCGCAGAGGTGATTGAATGCCTATTTGGGCTTTACCATGGAATGCTGAAGGAATCCGTGACAACTTGTGAAATAGGTCAAGGTTTTAGGTAGATTAGACAAGAACGGTCGTTCCAGAAGGCTCGAAAGCTCGTTTGGCTAAAGCAAAACTCGAAGCGAGATGAGATTTACGAGCTATCCTGTCGATTTCGATGCCATTTGTCACTATCCCGTCTTCACCAAAAAGAAGGATATGTCGAGGTAGATGTCGGAAGCAAACCCTGGTCTTAATTCTAATGAACGAAGACGGTTCTTCCGAATCTTACCATAGGAATTGGGTACGGTGGTAGTGATACTTAACTAGTGATCCTTATAATATTATATATAGAAAAAAAAGTGGAAATACAGTAGAGAGGCAAGTAGCAACATAGATTTTGGCATATTGCCAACGAGTAATACCCAGTCTAAGGAGCAGGTTGTCTTTGTTCAACCTCTAAGCCTCGACTTTGCAAACTGTAACCTTTCCTCTACAAGATTTTGATGGATTTTTTTCTGATTTTTTCAGCTACGGCTTACTTCTGCTCTGCTTTGTGTTAAGTTCTTTTCAACCCCTCGAAGTGCGAAGCTGTTCTACAAAGAATCCGGCAGAAAAAGTTAATGCGTCAGAGTGAACTTTAAATCGGTTCTGAAAACGAAACCTCCCCAAAAAAAGTTGATCGTAATTGAGGCCGCCAGGAGTCCTTTTCTCGTGGTTTGCCTATCCTTCTTCCATTTAGACAAGCTGGTCGAATACCGCCATAACACGTCAGTGCACTGCCTTGCTTTGAATTTTTCCCACACTCGTAGTTTATCCAGGTATTTTTCGCTTTTAAAGTCAAATATGCCCATTTTCAGCTAAAAACATGAGGTTGCAACTGAACACGCCTTAAGGTTGGACAAGGTAGTGTAGTGGCAGATGACGCACTATCACGCACATGGCACAGGGATCGAATCCCGGATCGGTCACTACTTGAGCCAACTATGATTTTCATCGCTAAGGATCGATTAGTTGGTATCGGACATGCTGAATGAACGTGTTTTGAATGCGTATAGGCCAAATACGCATTCAAAACGCACCACGTGAGTTGGATGCAGGGCGCATTCCAAAAAAAAAGAATCAGTCAACACGAAAGGCTTCAAGACTTCATTTTTAATTCAATTAAACTCAATGAACTCTTTGTTAACAAGCTGATAGCTATTATTGTCAAAAACCGTGGACATTAGGCGGCGGTTTAAAGCCTTGTCATCATGTTCCCACTCCAACGCTTTTCAATCGACTGTGACACGGGACCAGTGTGTGGCAGGTCTTCGAGATTGCTGCCGTCATCGCCCAGGGGTTTTCGACCTCTTAGGGGCAGTGAAACCCGTAGTTTTGGTACAGAGTTAGTACTTTCTTAATACAGCGATGACAGCCTTCGCCGATTCATTGTACTTCTCGATAGAATCCTCTTCGTTGAGGTTGAGGACTCCGTTTATTTTCCCTCTCCCCACTTTTCCATAAAAAATCATCTAGAAATAGATTTTGTGAAAAATACTTACTATCTGAACAATAAGTAGAGGTTACAAGAATATTCTCGGAGGTTTCCAAAAGCAGACAGGCTTGATTGGTTCTTTTTCCAATTGCGAAGGTATAAGCATGGGGTTTAGAGTGGGTTGAAGGTCAGGGTATTGAAAAAACCTACTCCTCATGTGAACTGAGACATTAAAAAGAATTACTACTCGATCTTGAAAGTTGTAATACGTACTTCAACGCCTTTGTGTTTTATAGATGTCGTTTTGATGGCTTCTAATCAGCGCCGTCCAGTTTTTCTCGCATTTTTCTCCAAGAGACAGATCTTGTGACCTTTTGAAGTCGAGTCGTCAAACGAATCTGGGTGTCTGAAGCCTGGCAGTAACTACTCGTCCCACGAGGGCAATGAAAGACCCCTAGGTCAACACCCAATCGGGAAATTTGCAAGTTTTTTACAAAATGCATCTCCGAAACACGATCTATGTTCCAGCGATCTCTTTTATTTGATGCCGTAATGCCAGGTAGGGAAGGGGGACAAGAAAGAAGCAATTACCATTTTTTTCAGACGTTAGTTTTACACTACGAAGGATACAGCTCTACAGGAAACTAGTGAAACACGACGAAACCCCCCTTCCCCCCTTTGTAAAGTGACTTGACTTGCTGCTGCTGGAAACTCTTCATTTTCTGACTTAAGATTACAATAAGAAGGTCACGCCCATTATTGGAAAGAATATAAACTGCCAGCTACAGCTTTGGAGACGACGACGACGACGACGACGAGGTTCTGCAGGGATGAATCACAAGCTGTTCATCACCGTCGCCTCTGGCGCGTCCGCTACCATGACACTCTTCAGCTTAATATGTGCCGGAATAATTTTATATGATATCAATAATTTCTATGATCATATCATGGATGACATGCAGAACTTCATGGTGGGTTCAGAATCTTTTGATTTATTAAATTATAATATTACTTTATTGTTCTAGACGATTGCCAATGAGGCATGGAACGAAATGCAGGACCCAGCTACTCAAGCCGAACGCCATTCCCCCAAACCTACGATCGAAACATTCTTTGGACGCATAAAGAGAAAAGCTGGAGATTGTGCATGCGGCCCACAGCCCACAACTTGTCCAGTTGGCCCTCCCGGACCACCAGGTCTTCCTGGGCTAGATGGTCTAGCAGGACCCCGAGGAAAAGACGGAATACCAGGGCTACCAGGGCTTCCATTACTTCTCAGAGAAGAACTCCAAGGATGTATTTCATGCCCACGTGGTCCTCCAGGACCTGCTGGAGTAATGGGACCACCAGGGCCACAAGGTCCAGATGGACATCCTGGGCTTCCGGGCGCACCTGGNAGACTTGGTCCACCTGGCCCTATGGGACCCAAGGGAGACCCGGGCACACCAGGAATGGCTGGACAAATGGGCCATCCAGGCCAACCAGGAAAGGACGCTCAATATGGACGTAGTCTGCCTGGACCACAGGGACCACCTGGACCACAAGGTCCCCCTGGATTCCCTGGAATGAACGGTGCACCAGGAGCACCTGGTGCGTTTGGTCCTATGGGAGCTGCTGGTCCGCCTGGACAGCCTGGTCGACAAGGGTTACCTGGAGACCCTGGAGCACCTGGTTTAGAAGGACTTCCTGGCCAGGACGGTGAATACTGCTCGTGTCCACCGCGCAGTTTGCGGATTCCACAGACCTACGTCGAAGCTGTGGCAAAGATCAAGGAGAAACTTCATCACTGAAGACAACACAAGCTCATTTCCTTCATAGACTGTGACGACGATTAAAATTTGTAGCTCTCTGGTCAGTAACTGTTCTAACTTATCTTTGAAACTTTTAAAGTAAGAATTGAGTACATGGATATCATGAGAGGGTTTTTCACTGTGTTGTACTTCACTTCGTTACTGCCTATACAGAAATCTCCCTTTTGTAAAGGCTTGCTCTCGTTCAGACTTCCCAAAATGGTAGCTACGAAATCGCTCCTTCTTCGAACTCCTCAAATTCTTCCAGTAGTGTTAGAAATGTTATATTAAGGTTATTGATACTCCTGTTGTACAGCTAGTCTTTCATAAACTATAAAAAGAAAATAAAGATTTTGGCATCGACCAGTTTTGTGATGCGCCCATGCATTTGCCTTCCATCCAGAATCGTAATGCATCTTGGAAACGTCTTCATCCTTTGGTACAATTACTTGCCCTCTACAGTACAGACAAGTCGAAGCTTTAATACTCCCAGATGAGCTCAGGAAATCAAATAAAAATGACCCAGAGGGCCAAAAAGTCTTTGTCACGAACTACGAGTTCTTCCTTCCGCCGATAACAGAAGAATAAAGTCAACCGTGTAGGGCTGGACTGCTCACCAGCGACTGAGTATCGCCATTTTCATTTAATCACGGATGTGTTCTACCCCATCAATCGAACGATAGCAAACTCACTTTGTTGTGCAAATTGTACTGAAAAATGGACCGTGTTCGACTTTCTCTTTATCTCGGCATAGCTGAACTTGTTTCTTGAGCTGTTTAAAGCCTTTCCGAGATTTACAACTTTATCCAAGCTTACGGTTCGGCCTCTTCGCCTTCTTCAGAGCCTGAAAGCCGAAAAACGAATTGAAATTGATCCTCACGTAGGCCTAGACAATACTTAAAACAGTCCTCTAAACTAGTGGACCCCCCTGGACTCGATCAATACAAGAGTGTCACATGGCTTACCTTGTACTCAGAGGCCAACCACTAGGACGACCACACAAGAACGGAACTTCTGCGTCATCTCCTCCCTGGCCTCACCGTAACTTAAAATTTGCAGAGGTCGAGGAAGGGCACCAAGTCACGGGTTGTGGCCACA